TCAAAATCAAAAGTTATCAAAACAAATTCTATGGGACTGAGAAGTATTATTTTCTACTTTTTAGTCCATTTATAAAAGCGTTGTATATTAAAAAGTTTTTTCATATTATTTATTTTCTACTTTTTAGTCCTGTCTGAATAAAATTTTGCAATAGATATTAAAATAATTCAACGATATTAATAGAAAGGTGCACACACATGCATTTACATATGTATGTACATACAAACGAGCACCAATTAATTTTATTTAAAGAAATGGCGTGTCGTCTATTTCCGCCGATATGCGTGTATAAACCCTCCTCAAAGTCTAGCCAAAAAGCCAGCAACTCACACAACAGGTTCCCCAGAGCAATTCGCTCGAGAAAGTGGTACCCGGTACACGTAATACGCGGCACACAGCACAGCAATCCGCCAAAACAGGCAACCCGGCCCAAAATTACCACCGTAGAAGGCAGAAACCCCGAGCGGCAGTGCAGGAGCCCAAGAATTACCCTTAAAACGGCCACAGGAGCTTAAAAAGACCAACTGGTCCCCAACTGGTCCGAAGGTAAGTAGTTTCGGTCTAGTCCCAAACTGGTTCCCAACTGGTTCCCGGACTGGTCCCCGACTGTTTACCAACTGGTCCCCGACTGGTTACCAACTGGGCCCACGAACTAGGTACCAACTGGACCCAAAGTGGTTACCAACTGGTCCACCTATACCTCAAGTGGTCCACAAGTCACTTCACTTACAAAGCATTCGATTTAGTTGACAATAGTCAAACTAATTTTATTTAAAGAAATGGCGTGTCGTCTATTTCCGGTGTAGCAAACGTAGTACATAGGGCGACATCTAGATGTCATCTACCTCGCCCTATTCACTATGCTTTTTTATAGGAGCTTTTCAAAGATTTGCTTTGGTGTCGGAACACAACATTGAAAGTTTCTGGATCCACAACATTGAAAGTTTCTGGAACACAACATTGCAAGTTGATAAAAGCGTTGTAAAATACACCTAAGACTTAACTGTCATCGGTGATGTTAATTCTGACCTTGTATCACGCTTGACAGAAGAATTCACTTTTACATTGCAAAGTCGGAATTAACACCAGTGATGACAAATTAGACCCAGATCACGATCCAGAAAATAAAGGTCGCGCCATTCGCGGACCGCTAACCCTCTCTTCGTCGATGTGACAGTATCCACCCAATCGCTGACGTCATAACATACTTTTGTTTACATTCACTGTTGCCAACTTGATGCTTTTCGCGCCAAATTTAGTGGGTATTCAAAACGCGAAAATTTTTGAGTTTGGTGCTGGTGCGTTTTTGGTGCTTTTGTTTTTAGTTTGAAGACACCAAATTAGAAAATCTTAAAAAAATGGAAGCAAAATTTATAGTGCGGTAAGCAACTTTAAAAAAATTTTAACAAAATCACGGCACAGTGACATAAGTGACAACAAAATATGTAGCAGCACCTTCAATCATGCCAGAAAAAATCGACCGTCGTGCAAGAAACATTGACTTTTATTAATTTGAATCGGAATCCTTACAATAAAATTGTGTATGTGTATAAAGTCCATAAAATATACCAATAAAATTTTTTTGCTTTTTCAAATTCAAAACTTGGCAGTACTGCCTTTTGTTCGATGCTTCCTCTTTTTCTTGTCGAGTTCGTCTTGCTCTCTCATTCTGGTATTTTTTGACGTCACGGCCAGTTGCTCTCAGCTAGATTGGCGCAATCTTGTATTCTATAATTCTTGGACCCAGATAGGTTCTAACATCAAAAAGTTGTTTTTGTGAAAATTGCAGATAGAGGCTATTGAATATAAGCCCTCGATATTAGATTGTTCCACAAGCTACATGTAGAAAAACTCGAGCAAATTTCAAAATCTGAGCGTATATCAAAGAAACTCCAAAACTTACTTGTGGAACGCGTATGTGTAACTCGAAGTTACTTCGAGTAGCTTGTGGAACAAACCTATTATCGCAACTGGTACGTATCGACCCGACGATATGCCCATACAAGGATTGATATTTTTTTTTTATTAATTTCTTAGGCATATCAAACATTATCTGAAACATGTCAACTATAATTAAATTATCTTCTTACTTAGTACAGTTTACGGAAGTTACAACGTTATGTAAAAACCTTAAGAAAATCCTAAAGTTTTTTGTTTGAATTGAAAATTCAGTACAAACAGTACAATTTTGAAAAATCAGGACATTAGCGTACTGATTGAAGAAATGAATAAAATCAGTACAAGAGTTGAAAAATCAGTACGTTTGGCAACCGTAGGCGGAAACGAACTTAGTTTTTCTGTAAACACCCTTAAAGCTTAAACAGACGGCAGTGTTGATCCGGATCAACTCGTTAATTCGGAATTATCTCGGGAATTAACTGCAGTTGATCCGGATTAAGTTCTAGAGTTAATTCCCAAACTTAACTCGGATCAAGCGAATATTCGATGACAACACTGACGAAAACTCAGAAAGCGTAGAATACAGAGAAAGTACAAAACTAGCATGGACATATATATACCTTTCCATCGGTAATGCAGTCACCATACTAATTCAGATAGGAATCCAATTAAAATTGAATAAGAACTTATTTGAATTAATACGGTGACTGCATTACCGACGACAAGGTGAATGTCCACGATAAGTAATTTTGTTCTTTGTTCTACGCTCCCTGAGCAAACAAATATGCAAACAAAGCAGCCCACTACTTCATCCGCGGTACCCGAGTGGTGAGGGCTGCGTACTACAAGCCTGCAGGTCCCAGGTTCGACCCTCGGTTGGAGCGATTGCCAAAACAGACTTTGCTTTTATTGTTACTTTATTTTTATTTTTAATTTTATTTGATTTATATATTTTATTTTCGTTTGTTTTATTTGATTTCACTTTTTTATTATTAGTTAACTTAAATTTTTAGAGTTTAATTTTACTAAAAAAGTCAAAAACAACTTAAAAGAAATATAGGAGTTGTAATTGAATGAAAAAATAAATAAAAATAAATGAATATGCTACTGACCGTGGGGTTCTAACCTACGACCTTGCGGCTCATAAATCCGCATTACTGCTATCTGTCAAGGCACAATTTTGATCAGATCAATTGCGGCGTTAATCCGGATCAACGTTGCCGTCTGTCTATGCTTTTACA